AGAGAGAGAGAGAGAGAGAGAGAGAGAGAGAGAGAGAGAGAGAGAGAGAGAGAGAGAGATTTTTAAGTTTCTTATGAATTTCTTCAGAAAGTATACAAGTATATCAAACAATTTACGCAATAAGAGTTTGATAATATCTATTAAATATAATGCAAAATAATTGTATCTATAACTGATTGAAAAAGATGAAAGTTTCTTTCGATGAGAAATAACTTAATAAAACTTACAGGTCTGGTGATGATGGCTGGCCTGTTTAGAAGAGTTGAACCTGACTTCCTCGTAGGAGTAGAATGATTCAATGCAGGACTAATGCTACCGACTCGGTTACTATTGCTTGTACTGGACTCTCTGCGTTGTTTCTTTGCTGGACGACGAGTATCGCTGCCACTACTATCCAACCGTTTAGCTTTTGGTGTCTCCTATTTTAATATTATATAATTGAAATTTTAATTAAAAAACCTTTATTTAATAAATACAAAAATTTCTTTATTATTCCAAAGTATGTAGAAGAAATTGAGATCGATAAGGAATAACTGTAGCGTAACATTAGGAATAACATTTGAAAATACAAAAATTCACCTTGCGTGGCTTTGGTATTTTTGAAACCATTTTCTTTTCCGGAGATAATGTGTCTTCCTTCAATCTATCGAATAATGAATCTGGATCTAAACCATCTTCGAATACCTAAAGCAAAAATACATTTTTGCATGAGATATTTTTCTTATTCGCATGATTAAACAATGTAAAATTTGTTTATATAAAATAATGTAAGCTTGTTAATAATTAAATTTTAAAGAAAACATATTGCGAATAAAAAATACTTCAGTTATATTTATATCGTAAGAATATGAAAATGATTATTGAAAGAAACCCTAAATACTTTAATTAATTCATTTACCTCTCCTTTCGCAATATAATCTTCTATAGCTTCCACTGCATCTTTAAAAGCAACAGACTTGCTTGATTTTACCAAAGTATCTTTATATTGTTGGTATGGTTTGATATTGGATTCTTCTATCCATGCACTAGAAGAAATGCATCTTTCAATGTAAAGACTGATATACAATTAATGTGAAATTACTATTAAATAAACAAAATTAAAAAAAAAAAAAAAAAAAAAAAAAAAAAAAAAAAAGAAATATGAATTATATATTATATACAAAGCCAAAGCTAAAAATCATTAAAATTAAAAAAATTATCTATTACATTAATACTAAAATATAAAAAACAAACACACTCATGAAATTTGTAAAAATTATAATTAAATAAAAATATTAATCAATAATAGTATATTATATTTATTAACCAAATATTTTTGCAAATGTAGAACTGTGAATATTTAGTTATTCGTTATATTAAACTTTCATATAAAAATAAAGTGATATTGAGAGAGAGAGAGAGAGAGAGAGAGAGA